TGTCTAGGGTCATTGATCAGCTGCAGTATCTTTGTCTCTCCTTGGGACTGGTCATTAATTAAAATAAAACCAAATCTCAGTGAAGGGCAGTAAATGGAAAAGAATTTTGGCTAAATGGAATAAAATTGCAATAAGTATCCAGTTACAAATATCTGGGAATGTTTGTGAGTGTAAATAATAATGTTAAGGATCAAATTACTTATGTCAAAAATATATGTACAGCTCGGCTAAAACCTCTGAAAGTTTTGTCAAATAGAGCAAATGGTGTTGGTATACCAGTTTTAAGATCTATGTACGTACTTGAGTACAGTTAGGAGTATCATTGATTATTCAGCTCCAGTTCTAGCTTCTTACTCAGGAAAAGATCTTAGGCCATTAGAGCTTATTCAGAATGAAGCAATGAGGATTGTGCTTCGTTGTTCAAAGACGACAAGAATAGAGATTATGAGGATGGAGCTAAATGTCCCGAGCATAATACACAGAATTAGAGAGTTAACTGTCATTTCTACTCTAAGGCTTATTAGGCGTGGTGATGGGTATCTGAAGTCTGCTGTTGATAAATTTACTTATGCAATAACTAGTAATTTTAAGATGAATACTTATACTAAAAAACTTTGTCAGATGTTGTGTGAATATAATATTGTAGATTTGTGTGAACCTTTGCCAAACAAAGTTTATTTGAAACCTTGGTTCATGGAGAGTGTATCTGTGAGAATTGATAAGCTAGAGTTAAAAAAAAAGAATGTAATCCTTTTGAGTTACGGCAAATATTCCTTGAGAAAATATCTGAGTACAGTCGGCCCTTAACATACGCGGGTTTAGCATACACGGATTTGCAAATATGCGGATTGCCCCGCCGGAGGAATAATCTGTACATTGAAGTAATTGAAGTACATTCAACTCGCACGCGGCACCGAACACGGGACACCGCCCGCTCCCGCAACCTCACACACAAACGCATAGCTCTCCCTCACTCAGTCAGTCTCGCTGTAACCACGCTTGTGTTGACATCAGCATTGTAGTTGCAAAAATATTACATTTCCGTGAATGTATTATATCAAGCACAGTATGAATAGAATATCACTAATATAAGAGTATTTTAACTGAAAACTACTAAAAAAACGAGTAACATATCTTGAACATCGGAAGGTTAGGTAAAGTCTTTTGTTTTCATGTAGTTGATCCTAATTTACATTGAAATGCATTACGTTTCAGCAAAACTACTACAGTGAACCCTCACTTTACGCGGTCAATTGAACCCACGAGGCCCGCGTAAAGCGAGAAATGCGTAAAGTGAACAACATAACATATGGGATTAAATGAAATAGAGACCGGCTGACCCCAAAACTCCACTTTTTCCGACACAATACCTATGTTCTAGTAAAAATAACATCTTAATTTTATGATGGTACATGCACACAATTAATACTTAAGAGAAATAGAGAAATACAGTCGCCAAGTTAATGTCCATTCAAATAATGGACTCAACTCCCTCCCCCTCTTCTCACACTCCTAGCTCTTCCCTCTCTGAGAAATGTTTGGGGGAAAAACCACTAGATTTTAAGGTATAGTAATAAATAATACCTCAAACTAAAGTTAGGATATAATTGACATTGCGGGATTCCTTGTAAGACCAGGAATATTTTGAATATAAATGTCATATATTTTGCACAAAAGATAACATATTTACTCAGAGTAAACAAAATACTTAAAGTAGATCTAAAATTTGTATGTCTAATGCAAAATGTATGATGTTTATATTCAAAATGATCATCAAATTGTAAGAATTCCAGCAATGTAAATTATATTCTGGCCCGATAATTTGTATGAATTTTATGAGCTAAAACAAATATCTTCAATAAATAAACAAAATATACTTACCGAAATACTATATGTCAATCAAAATACCCCACCTCCCCCCCTTTTCCCACCTGCTCCCTGGGTCCCTCCCTCCCTCCCTACCCCTCACCCCCACCTTCCTTCCCTACCAGAGAAATGATTGGGTTATAACAGTATATTTACATTTTTAGTAATAAATAATACCTCAGACTAAAGTTAGGATAATATAATTGACATTGCTGGATTCCTTGCAAGACCAGGAATATTTTGAATATACACTTCATATATTTTGCACAAAAGATAACATATTTGCTCTGAGTAAACAAAATACTTGCATTAGATCTAAAATTTGTATGTCTAATGCAAAATCTATGATGCTTATATTCAAAATGATCACCAAATTGTAAGAATTCCAGCAATGTAAATTATATTCTGGCCGGATAATTTGTATGAATTTTATGAGCTAAATAAAAAAATTATACTTCACCCGCGTATATGAGTAGATGCACCGCGAAAAGTGGGAATTCCGGTTTTGGCAGGGTACCGCGTAAATGTAGAAAAGCGTAAAGTGAAACCGCGTAAAGCGAGGGTTCACTGTATTTATTTCTGAGAATATGGAAATGTAATATTTTGCTGAAGTGACGTACGTATTACAGTGGAAAGTGGGATAAAATCGTGACGAAAGCAATGACTTTCGCTTTCTTTCGTTCAAAAGATGTTACCGTAATCGCTTTTCGAATGGTTTTCAGTTAAAAAACTGTTGTATTTCAAAAATATTCTATCCTAATTCACTTGTGATGCAACAGTTTTTTTAATTGAAAACCATTTGAAAAGCGATTATGGTAACATCTTTTGAACGAAAGAAAGCGAAAGTCATTGTTTTCGTCACGATTTTATCCCACTTTCCACTGTAATACGTACGTCATTTCAGCAAAAATATTACATTTCCGTGAATGTAGTATATCAAGCACAGTATAAATAGATTATCATTGTAATATAACAGTATTTTAACCGAAAACTATTAAAAAAACGAGTAACATCTCTTGAACATCGGAAGGTTAGGTAAAGTCTTTTGTTTTCGTCATGTATCTTATCCTATTTTACATTGAAATACATCACGTTTCAGCAAAACTACTATTTATTTCTGAGAATATATTCATTCAGGCACAGTTTAGGTAAAATATACATGTGCTGTAACATTTTTTAATTGAAAACGATTCGAAAAACACGTACCCTCTAGTCCTGTTCAAGGAGAAGACTGGGAGGAGCTGTTTGGTGCTTAAGACGATGACAAGGAAAATGATTTTGGTGGATTTTAATGAAAATATTCAGAAAGACCCTGGCACTGTCAAAGAAAGTGGCTGCTGAAGGCTTCCAGGACATGGCAGAGGACGAGATTAGGAAGCTAATTGAAGAGCACGACACTGAGCTGACCGAGGAGGATCTACAGGAGTTAGTAGACTCAGGCAAGGAAGAGGAAGAGGAAGAGCACCAAGAAATAACGTTGGAGAAGTTGGGGGAGATGACCTGGAATATTGAGGCACTGAAAAACGTGGCCTATAGTATGGACCCCTCCATGGTGCGTGCCCTGAAATTCATGCGAGGGATGGATGACGTTTTTGCTCCATACAAAAACATCATGGAAGAAATGAAAAGAAAGAGACGACAACTCCCCATCACCATGTTCTATGATCACCGAAGGAGAGATTTAACACCATCAATCACTGGCGGCAATGAGGAAGCAGCTGAATCCACCGTCGCCCCCACTTCACCACCAGTTATGGAATTGAGTGACGATGAGCCCGATGACCCCCGTCCTGTCGCCGAGGATAGGTATGGTACAGTAAAGTGAAATTTTTATCTCTTTTTTTTAATAGCTTTTCTTGCCATGTTTATTGTTTGTAAAAATGCACAGCACAGTACAGTTTAGGGGCCGGATACTCAAAAACATTTATGGGACTGTATGTCTTTGTTTACCCCGTAACTGGACTTACAGTCTCAGATCGGTATACTCAAAACACAGATGGCATACTCAAAACACAGATGGTATACTCAAAACCAATATTTGACATCGAACTCCGTAAGTTACCACAAGTAACTTACACCAGCTCCCGAGGTTGTGTAACACTCTCAACCCGGATGTAGTAGTGACTAATTCCCGATTGTATAGAAAATAATAATAATATATGTTGTAATAATGCTTGTTAGACTTGTTTTATTATAGAATAAAGAATAAAATCTTTTGTACATCATCATACTGAAATATAATATTTCACTTTGTCTTTTTCGTAACTTTTTTGTTGTATAATAAGCGGCTTGAGTGTCTCAGTTTGGAAGAGACGCATCCTTTGGCTTCTTACACATTATAAAGTATTTCTTACCAAAATAGAAGGTTTGTATTGTTCACACTTAGGGTAAAAATATGTTTTATGACTGAGTAAACTTGCAGATAGAACTTATTAATGTTGAAAAGCCGTAAATATCCCTCAGTGATGAAAGCCAAATATGAGGTCAAGTGAACATTCCTGCCAAGACTTCGCCTTGTTTTTCTAATATTCAACCAATAGTCTTAGCCTATTTTCTTATGTATATGGCTTATGATAACATGAAAGGCTATAAATTTCCATAGGCTAGCGAAAATTAAATGATATTAGGTGTAAAATATGGATTGCAATTAACTTGATTAATAGGTGCCTATATAACTGCTTTTTCAGTCTAAGGCAAATAAATGTTTAAACATGGGGCCTACTTAATTTAGTTAGAACATGAGGATTATTTAAATAAGAAATTATACTAATAGGGTATAGGTTAGATAGGTTTGGTTTGGTTATGTTATGTTATGTTATGGTATGTTAGGTTAGAGAATGTGTACATGGTTTTTTGGTGAGCGTCAGGCCGTCAGTGAGACACTTTGTCTAGCAGCTACCTTAGGCCTAGTTCCAGACTTTCCGTGAACATTATCATAGGTAGAGTATTAATTTAAGATAATTTACGGCTAATCCGATATATTTTCAGGTTTTAAATTGTTGTTTTTTGTATGAACTTGAAAACAATTCAGACCAAATGTTCCCAACATTGAAAGGAAAACACCAGGGTCTAGGCTAAATGAGTAATTTAAGAGAAGTGATTTGTCATTTAGGTTAGGCAAGGCTATACTATCATTAACCAATTTATTTGAATTTGCCCAGAATAAGGCTATCTTAGTATAGCTTATGTGTCTTGTCACAGGCCAACATTATGCAAGGGATTATTTACCTAAATTCTAGTGGGGTAAAACACCAAATACTGTGAGATCTCTGTTAGCCTGAACATTTGGTGAAGAGCACTACCGTGAATGAATGGGTGTTTTCCCGTTAACAAGACAGTTATCACAAATCAAGAAAATATCCCTCATCCCCAGAATGTTTATGGTAATGGAAAAATTTTCTTGGTAGTTCCTACAATTGCCCATTACATCATCTCTCGAACCCGGAAATATATCCCCCATCTCCGGAATTTTCTCGGTTATCTGGGAAACTTTCCTCATAGTTTTCAGGAAAATGTGCCTCTCTGAAAGTCATTTACCTAAGCAGTAAGTTTCCTGCAAAATCATGCTTTGAGAATTAATTTTAGATAAAATTTCAATTACGGCTTTCAGAAAGTTCCGGGTTTCAAGGATTCCGGCTAACGGAGAAGGCTGCTGTTCCTACCAGAAATCAGTTTCAAATGCGAGTATGTGACAGACTTTGAGGCAAGAGGATGTCTTTTAAATGCTTTTAACACCCTTATTTACTTTCATACTGAACAATTTTTTTTCAATTTTAATTGAATACAGAGATTTTAACACGTGCTTTTTTCAGTATTTTACCCCTAAGAGCCAGGCAAAACCTTAAGGCCGTAATTTTTGTTTTTCACAGGCATAACCCTTCTATTCTAGGCCTAATGATAAAACTTTGAATTAGTTAGTGTCAACATAAAAACAATACTGTAACAAACTTCTAAACCATTGCATAATTTTTTGTCCTGCAGATTGATCCTGTAACACTTGGACCTCATTTTCCAGTTACCCTGCAATGGATCTTGTTGTAGCTTATCTGCATGATCGAGCTTTACGACGTGAACGAAGGTATCGGGACCCTTTGGATCCCATAAATATAAGCGATGAAAATCTAATTAGATATAGGTTTCCTCGATGTGAAATTCTAAGACTGTGTGAAGATTTAGATCCATTTTTAAGGCGTAGAACGAGAAGATCTCATGCTGTTCCCATACACACGCAAGTGCTAGTTGCCTTAAGATTTTACGCCAATGGAACCTTTCAACATGTACTTGGTGATACAGCTGAAGCTGTAGCAGGGACAGGCCAAGCAGTCCGAGCCAATGTAGTCCGTAATTGGTTTACTTGATGAATTAAAATCAAATATCAATTCACCAATACAATTTTCCTCTATGTTTAAATAGTATTTTTTAGTGCAGTATACAGAGGTAATGCGAACAAAGCGTACATTGATTTAACTTTTATTTTCAATATTCTGTACATAATAAAATAAACTTCTTTATAGAAATTAAATGGCTTTCTTTTACCTTAATAATATATGTACTATATCCTTGAGCAAATTTGATTCCAATACAGTATACTTTTAATACTACTAAATACCAAAGGCACTAAAGTTTATGAAACAAAAAATCCTTATATAAAACATATTTGAGAAATTTTAACAATAAAAAAATATTGCTACTGTTTGCATCTTAAACTACACAATTTGACATGGGTCACCACATCGTTGTGAAATAATAATACAACTACTGTTATTTGTTGCCATTTTTTAGATTTAAGAACGGAATACAGTATAATTTTCATATGTCTAGAATTACCTGCATCAATACCCGTAAATTAAAAGAAACTTATAACCCAAAACTGTACTACTGTAAGTAATAAAGAAAAAAATAGAATACTCTTTGCTTGTTAAGCTATAAAATGTAACATGAGACAGCACATCCTTATGAAAGAACCAATGCAACAACTTGCGCTTTGGAGACTATTGTGTGTTAAATAGCAGCGATTACAGTAGGCTGTTGGTGAATTTGCACCATTATTTCTGTTTCAACCTACTTGAATCATACTTCGCAAACTACAAACTAATAAATAAAACTCGTTGAACTGGAAATTGACTACGTCTTACAAAATAAAGGAACCTTTAAAAAATAAAAATAAGTACATGAGCCTCTTTTCAAACATATAATTTTGAGTGTGGTAGGAACTTTTACCCAAAACCTGGGTAAACATTACCCGTAGTAGCACTGCAACACATGTTATTAGTTGACAAATGTGTGTCTTTCACTTAACTTCGTGATTTTAATGAACTTATGGAGAGCTAAATATTCCTGTTACATTTTCATGACTAGTATAGGCTGCAAGTGAAAGTTACACAATTTTTTAACATGCCGTCTTCCTTCATAACAATCACTGAAAGGAAAATTTATAATAAGTGTTTGATGACTTTTCAACTACGCTATTATCACATTTACCAAAAGTAAAGGACTTACCTAAGTAAACGACTACATATACGCATACCATAAACACAGCATCATTGGATAGGATTTTTCGACTGCATAACTCTTGCAATGCATAGCATTGCAGATGCAATGCACTCGGTGTTAGCTACAAGCTGTAAAAAACTGTCACTCATTTGTGTTTGAACACGAAGCATCTCTCGAAGAAGATCTTCATCTTTTCGGGCAGAAGAGGTTCGTGGCCTCCTGCCACTTCTGCTGGTACTTGGCATTGGAGGTGAACCCATTTCATCAGTGGAATCACCAGTTACAGTTGACCTAACAGCTGTGGCAGAAGGGGTACTAGACCTACTTCGCTGTTCCGTGGTAGCAGCAATAGGTTGACGAGTATTGCTTGAACTACATGTTTCTACCTCATATGTTCCGGATGATGAAAATCCAGGAATGTTTGTAGGTGCTGAATTTTCAGGTTCTAAATGCACAATGGGTACTGTGATATCATGTTCCTGTATATCCTCATTCAGAATGAGGGTTATAGAATCATCTTTCTCTTGAATGGGCCGAAACATAAATTCCTCTCGGAAACAACTACCGGTAGCTGTAAACCTAGCTCCTGAGGGTCCGGGGGTTAGTTCTCTTTCTTCTTCTGGAAAGAAATGTAGTATAATAGGTTGATTGAAGTCTATGTTAAGAGTATAATTAAAATATTACACTGTATTTCCAAATATACAAAAGCTTTTAGGAAAAATAATGGTTTGAAAAATAGTGTTGACCATCTAAATATATTTGTTTAAAATATTTTTAAATCTAAATATCAACTAGGCGTTAAATTTCTTATATTTGCACTTCTCAATTTTGTCCATTAACATACGAGTTATAACAACATTTAATATATAACTTAGGGAAGCAATAAACAAGCTAGAAATGAAACCAACTTACTAGTGTTGTTATTTTTCAAAATTATATAAAAAATCAGTATACTGTACAGTATTTCCAAATCAAGATGTGAAAAAATGTCTCCAAAAGTTTTTTTTAAATAAAAACAAGGACAGAAAAGAACAAAATATATCAGGGGGTTGGAAAAATATTTTGACTGAATTACCATTAATAGGTTCTTCACTTTCAACATCCCCTGGAATCCCATGTATAGAGGCTGGATCTAATAGTTGAAGAATTGCATCTTCAATTGCAGTGTATGTAATTTCAATTTGGGGGCCGCCACCTTGAAGAGAAAATATAAATAATAACTGTCTTACTGTGAGCTGTGGTTACATACACTATACGCTAACTATGTTATATTTGGCAAAAATCATAGTTACAAAGGAATCTACTGAAATAGTTCCAAACATTATAACCTAACCTATCATTGTAGCTGTAGCCACAAAAATTCTCCTTTATCTATGTCAAAAGTTAATTAGATTTAAGGTAACAAACAATAAATGGTAAAATAAGTCAAAAAAAATAGTCGCAGCCAGAAATTTTCAACCTGTATTAGTTGTAAACTCATAGGATAGAACATCCTTGCCTATAAGCCTAACAAAGTAAAATTTACATATTAATGTATACCAAATATGAATATAAATCTATTGATGAATGAAAATTAACGACATAAAAAAAGGAATTCTATGGCAACTTATACATTATGACCTTCATTACCGTCTGAAATAACGTAATTATTAATATGTAGTTTATAACAGTAACCAAACCTACCTAACCTAGCTTCCTTTACCAACGGGAGGCCTCCGCCGCCCTGCCACACAAACTCATATTAACTATCTCTGTTCCACGTCAGTTGCGACACAATGACAAGTGTGTCTTAAAATTGTGTAATCTATATGATAGGTATAATAAGAAAATCCAAAAGTTGTGGGGAAATTATTAACAGTTGTACAGACTTCCCTGACTACCGGGTGGGAAGATATTGGAAGCATAATGTGTACTCTAATGGTAGACCCTGCTGTCATATGGCATCACGAAAATTAGGAGCAAGTCTAAGGTTGCTGATCTGACTAAATGTGTCATTTACACACAATTGCAGGGTCGCAATGGTTTCTCGTAATATCGACAACACAACATACATACTGCATATTGATTCTCACTTTTTGTGTTCTCATTTCGGTATTTATGGTTATTTATTATTAATATTATTATTAATAAAGTGGTATTTTTATTAATAGTACTAAAGAATTATTATTACAGGCCCCGACGTGAGTCAGTGACTGTGCCTGGGTTGGTTAATCCACGTAAAAAGAAAAAAAAAATTAGGTTGAACGGTAAAGTTGTTTACTATTTACTCACACGGAAAACTTCGAAGAACGATGTTTCTTTTAATGAATGTGCTCATATAAGGAAAATATGTGTATTCATTCACGATGGAGAGCCACCACACTACTTACTTCCTTGAGTTTACAAACACGTAAAATCGTACCAAGCCTCAGAAAAACCATAGTTAAGTTTGTTTCATATTATCAATCAATAACCACGCTAACAATATTATGACTTACCTGTTCCACCAGCATATTTCTTATCTTGTGCTGCTTTTTTCTTAACGCTAACACGAAGGAAAACTTCCGCCGAATTTCAGTAACATTGCGGGTGACTCTACCAACAGCATTCACCGCATTTAACACTTCACCCCAGGCATGGTTTTTGAGTTGAAGTGTACAACTACTTGAGTCCAACTTCCCTAAAATCATTTCTTTTCGTTTGGCTACCTCAGTCACAAGAGCATATACTTCAGCCTCACTGAAATTAGGTCGTCTCTTCTTGGCTGGTGGTCCTTCCATGTTTACAAAATAATATTACGTGCGTCGCTCTCAGCTGATTTCTCCTTCTCTTGTGATTGGTTGATGATTTTGTTAACTGAGCGTTGATTGGCCAACTAGCATCTGCACTGACATCTACCGTCCGACAAGAGAACTTAATTTACAGGGTAAACACTAGAGTTACGAGAACTTATGGTAGTCTTACGGAACCATAATTAAATTTTGAGTATGCTAAATTTATGGTACTGTAAGGCTTCCACAATATATGGTACTGTATCATGCTGAAAAACGTAACTTTTGAGGTGTTTTGAGTATCCGGCCCCAGTACTGTACATAGGAAGTGGAGGTGCAGTTATTCACAATACATTTGTGTTTGTTGTCGGCAGTAGTGACGGACAGGAGGTGGAGGAGGCTGAGGAGGGAGTAGAGGGAGCGAGTTGGGAGGAGTGGTGACCTTGGACGCAGGAGCAGGGACGAGTGGAGATACCAACCAGTACATTACGGGTGTATTAATTGTTTTTATAGCTCTTTTTGCATTTTAATATTAAAAACTGTACATTACGTGTCAACAAAACTACCATTTATTTCTGAGAACATGGAAATGTAATATTTTTGCTGAAATGATGTACGCATTACAGTGGAAAGTGGGATAAAATTGTGACGAAAGCAATGACTTTCTCTTTCTTTCGTTCAAAAGATGTTACCGTAATCGCTTTTCGAATGGTTTTCAGTTGTGGGATTATAAGGCTAATGATAGGATAGAATATTATTGTAATACAGTACGAGTACAACAGTTTTTTAACTGAAAACCATTCGAAAAGCAATTACGGTAAAATCTTTTGAATAACGAAAGAAAGCAAAAGTCATTGTTTTCGTCATGATTTTATCCCACTTTCCACTGTAATATGTACGTCATTCCAGCAAAAATATTATATTTCCATATTTATTTCTGAGAATACGTATATTCATTCAGTCACAGTAAAGGTAAAGTATACTTGTGATGTAATATTTTAATGAAAATGCGGTATCGTAGTTTTCTTTTGTTTCAAATTTAATTAACAAAGATTGATGTTTCAAATGGAATGAAAAAAAATTTATGTACACATTGTACAGTATCTATAAATAAACTTTAATAAATGAATACTTTATGTTTTACATCGTCCTGTGCTACCATACCATGGATTTGGCTACTTTGGGCTTGCTATGATGTCGCAAGAGATCTGCCCTGGCAACTGTACCGCCACTCACAACTGGTGGTGTGTTGGTGCATCGTTTCCATTGTTTACTGGTAGTTACTGGTAAATATTTTTCAACCTAACGAAGCTATTTGGTCTTAAAAACTCGAACTACACACAGGTATATACGGTAAATAAGGACATGGGGGGCCAGATTTTTTTTTTTTTGGAGGGGGGGGCAGCAAAAATACGCGGATTTTTAACATCCACGGGTATCTCTGTTACGTAACCCCCGCGTATGGTAAGGACCGACTGTATATGTATGTATGTATGTATGTGTGTGTATATATATATATATATATATATATATATATATATATATATATATATATATATATATATATATATATATATATATATATATATATATATATATATATATATTTCATTAGCCCAATAAAGCACGTTGACTTCTACATACAATCAACACCTCAACCCGCCAGGATTCGAACCCAAGGCCCACAACCCTATGACTGTGACCGGGGAACGCTAACCGCTGGACCACCAGGATACTAAAAGCAGTCCTAGACTTTGTTAAATTTCACACAAAGCCTGTTCAACGAGCTTATGGTGCCGTGAACCTCTAATGGGGACCATCCGTATCACGTAGGTGGTCAGAGTAACGTTTTACCAAATCCGGCTTCGAAACAAGAGGATCCATATATATTTCATTAGCCCAATAAAGCACGCGGACTTCTACATACAATCAACACCTCAACCTGCCAGGATTCGAACCCACGGCCCACAATCCTATGACTGCGACCGGGGAACGCTAACCGCTGGACCACCAGGATACTAAAAGCAGTCCTAGACTTTGTTATATTTCACACAAGGCCTGTTCAACGAGCTTATGGCGCCGTGAACCTCTAATGGGGACCACCCGTATCACGTAGGTGGTCAGAGTAACGTTTGCAAAAGGCAGTTTGGTAGGCGTTACTCCACCCATGCAGTGATCCTCAAGCCAGACCTGACCACCCTACGTGACAGAATGGGAATCCCCGTGGGAGTTCACATTTCACTGGTCTGGGACTGCTGATCAACAGGCCAATGAGCTGAATCTGTGAGATAGTGTTGATTATATATATATATATATATATATATATATATATATATATATATATATATATATATATGTGATAAAATCACCTGCGGGAAAGTAAACAACTCTGTTGTTCATTTTACAATGGAACCCTAGCTAAGACTAACTCTTATCCATTGTGGGTTACGACAGAAATATATATATATATATATATATATATATATATATATATATATATATATATAAAAATATATATATATATATATATATATATATATATATATATATATATATAAAAAATATATGTATATATATATATATATATATATATATATATATATATATATATATATACACACACACACACACACACACACAGTATTACCCCGCTTTACGAGGTTACACTTTCCGCGATTTCTCATTTACGCGGTGCCTCGCCAGAACCGAACTTTCACTTTCCGCGGTGCATCTTCCCATATACGCGCAAAGTGTCTGGCTCGACGCTATTTTTAGATTCGACCCTCCCGCCTGCTCCCGCCTGGGCAAGCCGCGCGGTAAGGTTGCACAGTGCATGTCTCTGTTGCGTTATCAGTGACGTCATATGACGTATCGGACTGTAATTGGTCATGCATCCTTACCTCCCTCCGCTGCTAGCTGTAATTGGTTTAAAGTAATATGACGTGTCCACCCGCGGGAGGGAGGGAGGAAAGACGACACTTGACCTAACCGCGGCAGTTTCATCCCTCCAGGCCACACCGTATGTACGTGCATCCATTGTTCTGTGAAATGGCTTCCGCCGGACCACCGCCACCAGAGAGAAACCTTTTCTTACCTGGACCCAGCCGCCCTAAGCCAAAGAAGATACGACGTTCCCTAAGCTACGAAGTGAAATACCAGATAATTCAAGATTTGGAGAAAGGAACACGTCAAGCTGATCTCGTGTGCCAGCATGGAGTCAACGAATCTACGATTCGTACTATTAAGAAGGATGCAGCCAAGATCAAAGAGCACATGAGAATCACAAAGTCTGCAGGTGCTTCAATGATCAAGTATTGCCAGAACAAGGTGCTGCTAAAGGTGGAAAATTTGCTGGTGAGTTACTTGATTCGTCAGGCGCGACGCAACATGGCGGTGGACACGCGATCCGTTCAAGAGTACGCACGTGAACTGTACGCAGCAGTGTCACGTAAGATGGGAATTGCAGAGCCCAAACCCTCCAATGCTTCCTCTGGTTGGCTGCATAGGTTTAAGAGGAGGAACAATATCACCAACATCAACATTGGTGGTGAAGAAGCGAGTGCTGACCGTGTGGCGGCTAGAGGTTTTCCTCCGTTCTTACGTGAGGTTATGGAGGATGGGCGGTTCACTGACGACCAGGTGTTCAACATGGACGAATCCGGCCTATTTTGGAAAAAGCTGCCTGCCAAGACCTTTGTTGTCCAGTCTGCCAGCAAGGTTCGGGGTCGGAAGTTGCAGAAGGAGCGCATCACCGTCCTCTATACCACCAATGCCTCTGGTACCTGTAAACCAAAGTTATCGGTGATTCACACAGCCCGCAAGCCGCACGCCTACAAGAATGTGGACATGAGCAAGATTAATGTCCACTGGCTGACCGCACGCATGACGTGGATGTTCTCTGCTCTGTCACTCTCCTGGTTTGATGACTGTTTCATTCCCGACGTGAAGAAATTCTGCGAGCAACAAAATGTTCCATTCAAGATTTTGTTGCTCCTTGACAACGCACCAGGACACTCACCCCTACTTATGAATCGTCACCCCAACGTAAAAGTGGTCATCCATTCTCCCAACACTACGTCATTGATCCAGCCCATGGACCAGGAGCTGATCTGCAATGTGAAAGCTGCATACTCGGCAAAGAAATTCAAGCTCCTGAACGACTGTACCAACACCAAGGATGAGTTGCGTAA